CCTCTCTCTCTCCTCCTCTCTCCCTCCTCCTCCCTCCCTCCTCTCTCTCTCTCTCTCTCTCTCTCTCTCTCTCTCTCTCTCTCTGCTTTACTGCTGGTTCCAGCCGCATTTCCCTCTAGCAACAGCTCGTGGAAGAGCGCCCTGGGCCTGGACGTCCTCCACCATCATTTCTGCTTCCAATTTCTCGCGCCCTGCCAAAAGCATCTCCAGGAGCGACAGCTTTGGAGACTTAAAAATACTTCTGCTTCCTTCTCCTCCCTTTCTCACTGTTCCACATTTCTCGCCATCACACAAACAATAGTTCAATTCGAACTGTTTATATTTTTCGGAATTTATGCATATGATTTCTTGCAAGGCCCTATCCTCACTTATGCCAATTTGTTATTACTCCTGATGATTCTTAAGAGTTTATACATAATTCATGTCATGCAAAACAGCATGTACTTCCAATTTTCTCAAATAAAAGACATTCTCTACATTCCTCCTCCTCCTTCACGTTTCCACATTCCCTACTTCCACCAATATTCCAGTCCTCTCTGTCCTCTCCGTCCTCTCTCCCCGAGCAGGCTCTATTAACAGGCTGCTTCCTGCTAAGGCCAGCAGCCTATCGCTGCTGAGGCAAGGTGGGCCGTTGCTTCCCATATCATCAATACGGAGGAGAGGAGTGGAGAAGAAGAGTGGCGAAGATTAAACAGAAAGCACGAGGAGGAAAAGGGAGGGGGAAGGCTGAGAGTGGCCTTTAGCAAAGTGTCATCACTCACCTAAACTCTCCCCTTGCCCTCTCTCTTTCTCTTTCTATTTTCCTCCTGCCAGGGGCCCCAAACAGCAGCGGGGGGATAGAAGCCGTTTTATTACACTCCAAATGTTTTCCAAGAATATTGCAAAGTGACAAAGATTGCTAGAATTTGTTTCTCAGCCCCTGCGGCAAAGCCCTGCTTGAGAGTCTGTGGGCAGACGAGTGCTGACGGAGGTAGTGGTAGCGGCGGTGGTGTGTACGGCTGCCGATAGCGGTGATGGAGGTGGGCAGCTGCTAGAACTGCTGAGGTAGAGACGAGGGAAGCTGGGGATGGAAAGCGACAGCGCCTGGCTGCTGTCATGAAACATGCTACGGATGATGCGTTGCGCAAAGTGAGACGAAGTGTGTTGCGTAGACAGCAAAAGAAATGAGGTTAGGGTGAGAAGCTGCAGGGTGCCATGGTGTGCATATGGACAAAATACGATGCAGGAAGGGTGATGGTGGTCCCTTGTGAAACAGGCAACAAATGTGTTCTTATAATGAAATGCAAATTCTGTTGGTTGTACACGGCAAAGTTCATAGAGGAAAGCTGAGTGTTGTTGGAGCCCATACCATGCATCGTTGGTAAAAGGGTCAAATTCAATAGAGGTAAATCAGTTGGATGAGTATGTTGGATATTGTGTGAATATAAAGAAAAATAGATTCATACTTATTGACAGTGGTGGAAAGTAACTGAGTAACCTAAAGTAACTGTTTACTCAAGTACAGCACTTAAAGGAATACCGTACCCACAAAATGATCATTTTGTCCAGAGATTACTCGCTGCTCTTTACCTTTAATCATTGAAGGAAGCTTGTCTCTTATATATACACACATATCTATACTGTACATATCCATACATACACTATGATAGTGTATGTATGTAATAATGACTTTCTAATTAAATATTACGAATAGCTATTATATACCAATACAAATCTTCATTAGCTAATGCCCTCTGTGTTTCTTTATTGAAGTGATTACTGTCACAACTTTGATCTGTGGCTTGAGGAAGCTGGGTGAGTTATGAAGTCCGTCTGTTATTGGACAAACCTCGTTAGTGTAAGAGATGTGGTTCCAAGTCAATCTATAACACGTTCTAATAATAAGCTTATTGTTTTTACAGGGAGAGATATCACTTCACAAACTGTGAAGTCGTAGATCATCGAGGTTCACTGGGACGTTTATATATAACTAGTTGTGCTATGGATGCACATACACACACTAACATGCATGTGACATGATACGCAGGGCTGTTTTCACACTGTTCTGCCAAGAACTGTTGCAATGAGCCAACAAAGGCAAGCATGACAAAGACAGGTGGATGTTAACAATGTAGGGTTCAATTTCTTTTTTCAATAAATATATTTTGATGAAAAACAATGAATGAAAAAATACTTTTTTTTAAAACACCACAGGCCCACTTTAAGTAGCAGCTTCTTTCTACTTTTCCTTGACTGTTCTGTTTACTTCCCCCCTGGCATTTTGGTCATTGCCACAACACACCGTCTATTTCAATAAAACATTATCAAAGAGGGAAAAATAAAGCTCTCAGAGTTAACGAGCTGGCTAACGGTCATTTAGCAAACTCGCCAGCTTGTTAGCTTAGCTTGGTTGCTAATGGGACTCTCATAATGCCTAATAACCCATTGCTCTTTTGTGGGACAGTTTTTACTCAGACAGAGGAGGTTAAAAAGCAACAATAGCTCCTTCTACTTTTGGCCCCCTGGCTCATAGAGCACTGGCAAGATGGCTTCCTATTGGTTAACGGTGAAAATATGCGTGTCAAAGTGTATCAAAGTTGCACTCTACGGGTCATTTTCCCAAACCGATCCTTCCGATTCCGCTGGAATGAATTGATTTCACTTCGACATTTCAGTGTTTTAAACCCTGGTGTGTCCAGGCCTTATAGCTGCACCAGGTATTTAGAATTTAAATGACAGCAAGACATAACTGCGGACTTTAACACTAAGAAGTCAGCATACACGATGACCGCTCTGTAATCACGGTGCGCCGAAAGATACCACAAAAGGAGAAAATCTGTGCTCGACTCTTGGAGTTGCATAACCATTTCTGATTCATCACTTCCTGTGTGCTTTAAAACGTGCAGTGATTGCCATGACTACAGATGGCATTGCACATAGATGCTGCACAGTAAATTATTTGAATATTTCTCAGAGTGTGAGAAGTCGGTGTCCTTGTGAATAATCTTTACCCGGGAGAGATACAGATACAGTAGCGTCTGTTTTGAAGCTTGCGTGAGCAAATTAATATGCTGAAAGAGACAAATAATATCGTGGTGAAATGTGTAGTGTGTTCTATGTATTTCATGGTGGACTGAGGGTGAAAACGGTTGCTTAAAAAGTCTACCTTGTGTGAGAAGTTGAAGGGTCCTGACTTCCTCCCGGACGCGAAGCTGCAGGACCTGCTGCAGGATGTGCTGCCTCTGGGCTTCTTGCATGATGCCCATTCTCTCCAGCTTTCTGTCTGTCAATCTCATCAGAGCCCGCCCTGAGCAGAGAGATGGAAAAAGCAACCAGGCTGAGGGTTAACGGAGAGAAGGAGCGGGAAGCCAATGGGAATTCAATATGCACAGCTGGAGACCCTCTAAAAGGCCACAGATAAAGCATTTATGTCAGTGGAGGAACAGAGCGAGGAACACGCACACAAACAAATGTGGTGGGAAGATTACAGCCGCACGAATTGTGCATTGAATGTTAGTAAGAGGGTTTTTCAAGGTTGCAAGCTATGACAGAAAAACTAATTTTTAAGAACCTTTGCCTATTATGTGAATGTCAATTAGTCTTAAGCCCAGCACAACTCAATGTGAAGCACATTCTTCTGAAACGCAGTTTTACATAAATATCAGCACTGTACGTCCCTTAAGCAATAATCCCTCACGGCTTCTTCTTTAATTGCAAATCCTTGTATACAATCCATAATTTAATCATCCAATCAGTGTCGATGAGGGGGATTTGGGCTGCTGGTAAAAAAAGCGCGAGTCGAGTATGATGTAATTATCAACGCTTGTTACGACTGCCTTTGTAACATGTGGGACGCTAAGTAGACAGGGTGAAAATTCAGGGTAATTACTACGTGTTAGCTTGGACCCCGACAGGCCCCTTTGCTCCGTTGCCCTGATGACTCCTTGGACATGAAACTGGATGTGATTGGTTGACTGCCAAGGGGGAAAGATCAGTGCCGATAGGCTGATGGAAGTTAGTCTGTTGCATTCTTCGCCCTCGTTCTCTCTCTCCTCTTAACATCCCCTTCCATTTCTAATTTTTTTTTCAGATCATCAAAGCTAACATCCCTGATGCAAGAAATGCAGTTTAAAATCACTCTTATTCAGTGCCTTTTTTTTTTACACAAAAGACCTACAACAGAATTTATAGGCAGACTTTATAATTGCACGTCTCGTGACTTGTTTTGGCGATCTATTGTTGGTCGTCGGTGCATGTTGAGCCTCCCACTTCCACAGCACAGAAGGGAGTAGTTGGGAAAGCTAAGTACCCTTAAGTGTTAGCGGTATAACGTTGACAGCGTTAGGCCAATTGTCTACCGCCTCAACAAAAGCAGCTCTTCGCTCGCCGCTACGGCCAGATGGGGGTAAAATATCAGAAACCGTTAAGACGCTCCGACGCAAAATGGCGCTGAAAGTGCCCATTACATTATGTGCCAACACTGGAGAGCAAAGTGGAGTCATAAAGGCTCCGAGTTGAGAGGAGGATATTAAATGGGGAGATGGGAAGAAAAAGATTAGTGAGGTGGAAACAGGACAGATGAATCGAAGGCGGGGCGGAAAGTTGGGTAGAAAAGGGAGACGTGCAAATTGACAGAAGAAAAACCAGCGTGCGCATGCTGTTATGAGTCTATAAATATTGGCCAACCGACACTGGGCACCTCGTTGTGTAACCAAAGATAGATCGGCATGGCAACAGAGGTTGACTTTTTTCTCCGCTTCAGTAATGTCTTTCTTAAATAACAGCAGATACAAGAGATGAAACATGGCTCTCAGACCAGGAGATTCACAGTGTGATTCACAAGGCAGAAGCTCTGGATGCAAAATCAACAGCTTTCCGCTCTGCTGCACATTCAGTGAAGTTGACAGAATACTGAGATCTGAGAACCACAGCATACTGTCATTACACCAAATAAGTAAATATTTCCTGTTTTACATCGTATATGGGCTAAGCATGAGTATATATTTTATATGTGCCTTTTGTTTGGCACAAAGTCATTCACAGACAAAGAAAGGTACCGTTTGTTACACTTTCAGTGACGTTACTCATGTTTGTGGTCAAATAGACTTCACAAAGGTGTGACTCCATGTTAGATGTTAGACTTTATTTAAAAAGTGAGGGTTCACCATTTTGGGAAATACACTTTTTTACTTTCTTACCAACAGTTAATTTAGAAGATTGATACCACTCTTGTGTCTATCCATTAAATATGAAGCTAATTCCAGCGGCCGGCTAGTTTAGCTTAGCCTAAATACTAAGCTAGTACTAAGCTTGGGTCAGTAACATTGCAAAAAACCTGCGAGAGTACGTTAGATTCTAAAAATGATGCAACGGAAAAACCCGGCTCAGTGTTGCCGACTCTTTTCCAATGAAGCTAGCCAGCAGCACTAGCTCCAAAGGTCGCTACATCTTTCAAAAAAGTCATCGAGTTGTCAACACCGACAGCCCATCCTTTCAGGCCTCCCGCCAAAGCCACTCCCCCAAAATTATCATCGTGAACGTACGAAACTAAAGTGGCTATTGTTCGTACTCCGCTGTTAAGCCAGCAGCTAGCATTGGAAGACTCCGGTGACGCGCCGGCCAAATTAAATGATTCTTTGGGTTTATTACAGTCCTGCGACAGCCACAGATAACGGATTATTTTCTCTTTTTTTTGGTCAGCATTGGATTTATTGAATTGTTGTCAGGATTTAAAGGGAATTTCGACAAATATAACAAACATGGTTTCTAAATTGAAAAAACCATACCCGAGCTTAAAGTGTTTTTTTTAAGCTTTTAAAGAGAACCCAGTCCTCCTGGACCCCAAAACAGAACAAGAGGATTAATGAAACCTTCCGGTTATGATTTAGAATTGGTCAATAAGAGCATTTAGCATGAATGTTTCACTCGCTAAAGAAGTTTTTCTGTAGAGGCCTGATGTGCTCTCACATCTTAAAACAAGAAGTGCATTGCAGGTGACTGGAATATAAGAAGCTCGACGATGACTACGAGCAAACTGCCAGTTCCGGGCGGTGGATGCCAACGGGTGGAACAGCTTCTGTGAAGAGTCCACGCCTTTACTCTCTCGCTCTGCAGTTTTGAGCCATTGGCTTCGACAATCCCATCAAGCCTCAGCCGGGAATTTTTCAAACCACAATTAATACACTGAGCAGTGTTGCATGGCCACAAGGAGAGGAGGAGGGGGGATGAGGAAATTGGTCAAGAAGAAATAAATGAGGAAAGAGAGGGAGAGATACTTGCCGAAAAGTTGGAAGTGAAAGAAAAATGTAGAATCAGCTGTAAAAGGTATCGGAAATGACAAAAAAAGACCACGACTGGGCCAATGTGGTGGTAGAGACAAAATATGATGAGTCATCTTGCTGCATGGTTAATTCTTAGGTTACAGCACCATGACAGGGCTCTCCTCTCTAACATCTGACAGATCCAGACTTTTACAATGCTATGCCCGTTTAAGGCAAATCTTTCAAAATTGGGCAAAATTAAATGTTTTCATCAACAATATCCCATGTGCGGATCACATAATTCTTTTTTTACTTCCTTATTGGGTAATCTTGGAAAAATATGAGCTTGTTTCACAAAGTCACTGGTGTCAATGTAAATCATCTTTGCCCTCTTTAATTTCCAGGTTTACTTTGCCTCCATAAGGACAGAGGTTTACCAGATGTGGCACAAACATATATTTTACGTCGCTTATTCCACTGGCTTTTGGCTTTTGAAACATGTGATTTTAGCCCGTTAACAGCTGTGAATGCCCCCCCTCCTTCAGTATTTGTTATTGATTGATGTACTCCAATTTGCTTTAATCTACTGTACTCCACTCATTCATTTAGCACCAGTAACTCTTGATACATTGTGGTATTTCCTTGCTGCTGAAATGACATTCGTGTTCTGCCTCTTTATCACTGTGGTGTCCCCATCTGGTGGCTCTACTGGGGATACTGATATTTTGGGTACACCCCTGAAAATCATGCCCTTGTTATTCCTTAGTTCGGGGGCTTTATGGTGGCATGTAACTTGGCATGTTTTTTTTCTGCAACAGAAGCAGTGCTGTTAAGGTGTATTAGGAAAAATCTGGTGCCATCAGCCCATATCACTCTTGAATTGTGAATTTAACACTTTGGGGTGGAAAACTATGAAGGCAAATCACTGTCAAAATCCGAGAGCGCAAATGCCGCGTGCGTATTTTACTTTGACGAGCGCTTTTGCGTCACTCCGCGAGCAAAAGTCGCGCTCGCGATGCTTAATCCTGCTCGCTCGCGAAACTTTAACCTGAATTCGAGAGTGAATTCTGCTCGCGGAGTGACGAAAAAGCGCTCGTCAAAGTAAAATACACGCGCGGCTGTTTGATTTTCACGCGCGCATGGATCTCATTTGCGCTCTCGGTGATTTGCCTTCATAGAAAACTAAGCTAACATACATTCCCATCTATCTGCTTTCTGCACATACCAAACTCCTGTAGCCCCATTCCTTCCTTTTCTCAAGCCTACCCAGCTCCCTTCTTCCTGACTGTCACTTACCCATTCAGGTAGCATCTTGACTACCACACTGCTCCTGCTGGAATGAGCTGAATAATTCCATTTCCTATTTCTATAAAGGAGGCTAGTGGATCCAAACTCCCAGGAAGATGAGCTCCCACTGCTGCTTTCACTGAACTCTAAAAAAAGAGCTCCACCTGCTTCTCTGATTCACATCCAAGAATCTGTATTTTATTAGACAAGAGCTATATTATAACTACACTAAAACATGCATGATCGGTCAAATTGTTCCGAATGTATTTTCGCAGCCAAGCCAAACTACTTTTTACAGAAGCACACTGATGTGAGCAGACTACACACACACACACACACACACACACAAACACATCGTCCCGGGAGTTAGATTAATGAGTGGTGGGTGAGCAGCAGTGTTGGGCTGAAGCAGATTAATCCACAGCTATAGCCTGGCACAGTCAACCACGGCTTTGATGAATGGGAGCTTAAAATGAATCTGTACAAACACACACACGACATATACACACGACACATCGGATATAAAAGCATGCGCAAACTGGGGGATATTTGCCAACTGGTCGCACCTACACAAACAGATACTGATGCTGCACTTCATTTCACACATGGAGCTAAAATGCCACGCTAATTATGGCGGCGTGCGGGGGCGACCGCGGGTAAGAGACGGGAGCACAAAGGGTGCAAATTAACCATCCTCTTCCTCTACCTTTACAATCACGCTCCTCAGGCCCGACGTGCTTTGGCAGCTGCGCTTGACGCC